CGCCTACCCAGGCGACGACGGACGCGATCGCCGCCGAGGCCAAGCAGGCCGAGGCCGCCGCAGCGCTGGCCAAGTCGGCGGCGGTAGAGACTGCTGCCGCCCTGGCGGAGGCGGCCAAGAAGGAGGCGCTGGAGGCCGAGGCCGCGGAAAAGGCCACTGCGGCTCACGACACGCTGCTGGCCGCGGTGTCGGCGGAGCCGCTTGAGGTGGAGGTGGGGGCGGCGGCCGACGCGCTGGCGGCGGCCGAGAGCGCGGGCGTGGCGCTGGAGGCGCAAGCCTCGGCCCGAGCGAAGCTGGACGCGGCGAAGGCGGCGCAGCAGCGGCGCGACGAGGCGCGCGACGCGATGGGCGCCGCAGTGGCACAGCCGCTGCTGCTGCTGGAGGTGGAGGGGGCGACGGCGGCGGCGGAGCACGCGGCGGCTGCGGGCGTCGGGATGGCGGAGGTGGCGTGGGCGCGCGAGAAGATCGAGGAGGCGCGCGAGGCGCAGGGGCGGCGCGATGCGGCTCAGGCGGCGCTGCAGGCGGCGGTGGCGCCGGCGGCGCTGCAGGTGGACGTGGCGGCGGCGGAGGCGCTGGTGGCGCCGGCCGAGGCGGCGGGCGTGCCAGAGGAGGCGGTGGCGGCGGCGCGCGGTCTTGTCGATCAGGCGCGCGAGGCGCAGCGGCGGCGCGACGAGGCGCAGGCGGCGCTGCTGGCCGCGGTGTCGGCGGAGCCGCTTGAGGTGGAGGTGGGGGCGGCGGCCGACGCGCTGGTGGCGGCCGAGAGCGCGGGCGTGGCGCTGGAGGCGCAAGACTCGGCCCGAGCGAAGCTGGACGCGGCGAAGGCGGCGCAGCAGCGGCGCGACGAGGCGCGCGACGCGATGGGCGCCGCAGTGGCACAGCCGCTGCTGCTGCTGGAGGTGGAGGGGGCGACGGCGGCGGCGGAGCACGCGACGGCTGCGGGCGTCGGGATGGCGGAGGTGGCGTGGGCGCGCGAGAAGATCGAGGAGGCGCGCGAGGCGCAGGGGCGGCGCGATGCGGCTCAGGCGGCGCTGCAGGCGGCGGTGGCGCCGGCGGCGCTGCAGGTGGACGTGGCGGCGGCGGAGGCGCTGGTGGCGCCGGCCGAGGCGGCGGGCGTGCCAGAGGCGGCGGTGGCGGCGGCGCGTGCGGCGCTCGAGGTGGCGAGGCAGCAGCAGCAACAACGGCGGCGGCGCGACGAGGCGCTGGCGGCGCTGCTGGCCGCGGTGGCGTCGGACCCGTTGACGATCGATGTTGCGGCGGTGACCACCGCGCTCCGTGCGGCGATGCAGGCCAGCGTCGAGCACGTGCAGCTCGCCGAGCCGCTGAAGAAGCTGGAGAAGGCCAAGGTGCACCAGCGCCGTGCGAATGCTAGCGAGGCGCTGCGGACTGCGGTGCTCGCCGAGCTCGAGATGGACTTGGCCGCGGCGGCCGCGGCGGTCAAGGAGGCGGAGTCGGCCGGCGTGCCCGCCGTCGAGATCGAGGAGGCCAAGTCGCAGATGTCCGTGGCGGAGACGGCGCAGCAGCATCGGGCGGAAGCGCTCGCCGCCCTCGAGAAGGCCGTCGGCGTGCCTGCGCTCGAGGTGGACTTGCAGGCAGCGGAGCAGGCATGGACCATGGCGGCGCAGGCGAACGTCTCGCCGCAAGAGCTCAAGAACAAGCAGGATTTGCTCGACAGTGCCAAGGAGGCGCAGCAGAAGCGCGACGACGCCGAGACCGCGCTGCGTGCCGCAGTGAATGCGGAGCTGCTGCAGGTGGGGGTGCAGGAGGCGACCGCGGCGGCGCATGCGGCAAGTTCGGCTGGCGTGCATGTGGAGGTGCTGGCGGCGATGAAGGCCAAGATCGACGAGGCTGTGGCGGCACAGCAGCGCCGCGCCGCTGCGTATGACGTGCTGCAGGCGGCCGTGGCTGGCGCACCACTCGCCGTAGACGTTGAGGCGGCTCTGGGGGCGGCCGCCGAGGCCGAGGAGGCCGGCGCGGTGCAGGCACAGCTGCAACCGGCGCGCGAGAAGATCGAGGAGGCGCGCGAGGCGCAGGGGCGGCGCGATGCGGCTCAGGCGGCGCTGCAGGCGGCGGTGGCGCCGGCGGCGCTGCAGGTGGACGTGGCGGCGGCGGAGGCGCTGGTGGCGCCGGCCGAGGCGGCGGGCGTGCCAGAGGAGGCGGTGGCGGCGGCGCGCGGTCTTGTCGATCAGGCGCGCGAGGCGCAGCGGCGGCGCGACGAGGCGCAGGCGGCGCTGCTGGCCGCGGTGTCGGCGGAGCCGCTTGAGGTGGAGGTGGGGGCGGCGGCCGACGCGCTGGTGGCGGCCGAGAGCGCGGGCGTGGCGCTGGAGGCGCAAGACTCGGCCCGAGCGAAGCTGGACGCGGCGAAGGCGGCGCAGCAGCGGCGCGACGAGGCGCGCGACGCGATGGGCGCCGCAGTGGCACAGCCGCTGCTGCTGCTGGAGGTGGAGGGGGCGACGGCGGCGGCGGAGCACGCGGCGGCTGCGGGCGTCGGGATGGCGGAGGTGGCGTGGGCGCGCGAGAAGATCGAGGAGGCGCGCGAGGCGCAGGGGCGGCGCGATGCGGCTCAGGCGGCGCTGCAGGCGGCGGTGGCGCCGGCGGCGCTGCAGGTGGACGTGGCGGCGGCGGAGGCGCTGGTGGCGCCGGCCGAGGCGGCGGGCGTGCCAGAGGAGGCGGTGGCGGCGGCGCGTGCGGCGCTCGAGGTGGCGAGGCAGCAGCAGCAACAACGGCGGCGGCGCGACGAGGCGCTGGCGGCGCTGCTGGCCGCGGTGGCGTCGGACCCGTTGACGATCGATGTTGCGGCGGTGACCACCGCGCTCCGTGCGGCGATGCAGGCCAGCGTCGAGCACGTGCAGCTCGCCGAGCCGCTGAAGAAGCTGGAGAAGGCCAAGGTGCACCAGCGCCGTGCGAATGCTAGCGAGGCGCTGCGGACTGCGGTGCTCGCCGAGCTCGAGATGGACTTGGCCGCGGCGGCCGCGGCGGTCAAGGAGGCGGAGTCGGCCGGCGTGCCCGCCGTCGAGATCGAGGAGGCCAAGTCGCAGATGTCCGTGGCGGAGACGGCGCAGCAGCATCGGGCGGAAGCGCTCGCCGCCCTCGAGAAGGCCGTCGGCGTGCCTGCGCTCGAGGTGGACTTGCAGGCAGCGGAGCAGGCATGGACCATGGCGGCGCAGGCGAACGTCTCGCCGCAAGAGCTCAAGAACAAGCAGGATTTGCTCGACAGTGCCAAGGAGGCGCAGCAGAAGCGCGACGACGCCGAGACCGCGCTGCGTGCCGCAGTGAATGCGGAGCTGCTGCAGGTGGGGGTGCAGGAGGCGACCGCGGCGGCGCATGCGGCAAGTTCGGCTGGCGTGCATGTGGAGGTGCTGGCGGCGATGAAGGCCAAGATCGACGAGGCTGTGGCGGCACAGCAGCGCCGCGCCGCTGCGTATGACGTGCTGCAGGCGGCCGTGGCTGGCGCACCACTCGCCGTAGACGTTGAGGCGGCCCTGGGGGCGGCCGCCGAGGCCGAGGAGGCCGGCGCGGTGCAGGCACAGCTGCAACCGGCGCGCGAGAAGATCGAGGAGGCGCGCGAGGCGCAGGGGCGGCGCGATGCGGCTCAGGCGGCGCTGCAGGCGGCGGTGGCGCCGGCGGCGCTGCAGGTGGACGTGGCGGCGGCGGAGGCGCTGGTGGCGCCGGCCGAGGCGGCGGGCGTGCCAGAGGAGGCGGTGGCGG